CGAGCCCTAGCATCCCATATGGTGCTCCAAGTCCTGCCAGGAGTAATTCCTGAGCACTGCTGGATATGGCCCCCAAACCAAAAACCCCTGTATGGTGCTGTGGGGTCGTGCTTGCTCTGAGACAGTTTTTTTCCTGGGCTTCCCTACTTTTTTTTGGGGGGGGGGGGCGGGGGGGAAGGGGTCACATATTTTGTTGTGGTACTCAAGCACATCCTGCTTTTTGTGCTTGCTGGGGGTCACTGCAGTGCTCTCATTTGTGCCCACCGAGGGTTATACTTCCTGGGCACCATGTTCCAGAGAGTCTCGTCTCGAACAGTAGAGCTACAGGGAGCAAGTTTAGCACATGTGAGTGGCACTGGAGATTGAATTTGGGGGCAGGTGGCAAATTTGGAAGGCACTTTGGCCTTTGAGCCATTTCCCAATTTAGAAGAATCAGCCTTCTCAGAAAAAGAAGGATTATTCAGTGTACAAGGTGGTAGTATTTTTTTTTATGAGGACACTGTAAATGCCTCATGTCTGCCTTCCTGCTCGGTGGCTATAAATACTGAATCTGTGATTTATAGTGTCTCTCCGAGAGGCGAGCTGCAATGAATGTTTTGTTTTCTTAGTTACCTTCTTTATAGCTTGACTTGGGCTATTTTGTTTACTATCTTGCTTCATTTATCTTTCCCAACATGTTTATTGGCCACTTATCCCCATCCCACTATAATGGGTTTTTGCATCTGTAACATCTACAATTATAATTATAGAATTTTTTATAAGTGGTATCAAGGGGACCCGAGAAATAGTACAGTGTGCAGTGTGCCTGCCTTGCACATGGCCAGCCTGGGTTCAATTCCTGGCATCACTTAAGGTCACCTGAGCACCACCAGGAGTGATCCCTGAGCACAGAATTACATGTAAGCCCTTAGCACTGCTGGGTGTGTCTCAGCACACCCCGCAGTGATCAAAAAAGAAAAGGAAAAAAAAAACATTAAGGGACTATGATTTACAAAGTTATTCATGGCTGAGTGTCAGATGTGCAATATTCCGATGCCAGTTCCACCATCAGTCTAGACTTTCCTTCACTAGTATCCCCAAGGCCCCTCCTGCCCCCTGCCTGCCCTCTTGACAGACAAATCAATTGTTTGGGGGGACTTTATTGGTTGGTGTGTTTTTGTTGTTGTTAGCATGGGGGCCACACCCAGTCTGCCCAGGGCTTCCATCTAGCTCTGTACTCAGGGACCAAGCCCAGGTCAGCGCTTGTGAGGTAAGTGCCCTACCCACAGTTCTATCTCTTCTGCCCGGACAGGCACATTTTTGAGTTGGTTGTTGTAGTTTGGATCTCTTGTCGATAGTGTTGTTGGTTCTGTGGCTCAAAGATACACATACTCCGCACCTCTACAGTGCCCCCAGCCCCCTGCCCTGTCAGACAACTTCTTACTCACCCCTCCATTTCTTTCTTTCTCTTCCCTTCTCATTTCTGTAATCTAAGGTCATGGGTGATCTAGGTTTCCCCTTCTTGATACTTTGCATTCCCTCATCCTGTTATTCTATATACCACAAATAAGTGAGACCATCCGGTATACTGATAGAATTTTAGCATCAAGCTGAAAACGAGCCTAGGAAACGGACACACTGACAGGAATCCTTTACAAGTCTCTGGATTTCCTGTTTTGAAAACACATTCAGACTTGATCAACCAAAAACCACAGCGAATGTACTGATAATTTCCTCCACCACAAACTGTCCTCTCCTTTGAGGAGGAAAATGATACTTCGAACAATGAACCTCAGACAAAAAAGATGTTTCGACGAAATTGTGAGCTTCAAGGGCATAATAATATCATTGCTTGAGATATTCCATAATATGAGAACTGAAATTCACTTTGCTCAGCAAATTTTTTTTTCCATAAAAAGTATCAGAACATTAGTCTAAATTAAGTTCCTTAGATCTTAAATTGGGTTGGAGCGATAGCACAGCGGGTAGGGCATTTGCCTTGCACGTGGCCGACCTGGCTGACCCAGGTCCGATTCCTCCGCCCCTTTCGAACAGCCCAGCAAGCTACCAGGAGTATCTCACCCGCATGGCAAAGCCTGGCAAGCTCCCTGTGACATATTCGATATGCCAAACACAGTAACAAGTGTCACAGTGGAAACATTACTGGGCCTGCTCAAGCAAATCGATGAACAACGTGAGGACAGTGACAGTGACAGATCTTAAATTATTGAGAACACACATTCTTTTAGGAACATCAGTGTTTATTCGAGTGAATCTATCTTAGCCTTAGACACCCTACCAAACATCTCTAGTATGTATAGACTTGAAAATAATGCAGTTGAATTTATTTCGAAGATAAGTTCCGTTCGAAAGACTTTTCATTGTGCTGCACACTGATTTCATTTTATCTAGAGTATTCCAAAAATTGAGTATAGGGGCAGGGCACTTGCCTTACATGCTGTGACCCAGTTTCGGTCCTCTGAGCACTGCCAGGAGTGATTCTTGAGTGCTGCACCAGGAGTGAGCCCTGAATGTCATCTGATGGGCCCCCAAACAAAATACAGGAACGTGAGTGTCATAGAATCATCTGTGAGATTGGCACATGGAGCAAAATTCTGATCTCTCCAACTTCCCCACTGAAAGTCAGATGAGCCTTCACTTAGAGAGTCTGACTCAAGAGCCAGGCCTGGGGCCAGAGTGATTGTACAGTGGGTAGAGCATTTGCCTTGCATCGGCCAACTCAGGTTTGATCCCCAGCACCACAGTTGGTCCCCTGAGCATCACCAGGTGTGGTCTTGCAAAGCTAAAACAACAGCAGCAACAAAAGCACAAGATCTTCTCCAGCCTTCCTGTCCTTCGACAGCAGCCTTTGTCTTCGGTGGAATGAAATCAGGCATCAATCCTAGTGAGCGAGAACAGACTGGGTGCTTTATTGCATAAATATCCAGGTGACACTCGGGCTATGTGTCTACATCCCTGCTTTTCACTCTGTAGAGATTCTCTCATTTCTCAGGCCTGGTCCAAAGGTAACTCCATCCAGTCATTAGCTGCCAGAATTAACTTTGAAGCAATTTTCCTGGCTATAGTGGGAGTTATATTGCAGGGTCACAAAATCATAGACGAAAGACCTTTGAGTTCCAAAGTTGAGGAAGTCAGAATTAAATTCGTATTTGGAAAATGATTAGTGTCTCATGAAATGAGTGTAACAGAAGGAGTGATTTTTTTTGGTCTTCTTTTTTTTTTTTCCCAGTCTCTAAGGCAAGTTACAGATCTAAAGTTAGATCAACCAGGACAAAAGCATTTGGGAGACAGTTACATTTGAATTTAGGTATTTACATTACAGAAGTAGGAATGAAGAATTTTCTCGCAAAAGAGCAATTCTGATATTGCTTTGTCTCTGTTTGGCATGAGTAGTCTTAATGTTGAAAAATAGCTGGGAAGTTATCCTGGGTGGAAGGGATAAACCCCTAATTGATCAAGAAACAAAAATGCCTATCTCTGTGGGGGTGTCTGTGTTTTGTCTTGAAAACATCAAAGCTGCTTCTCTGGAATTCTTCTGGGAAGAGAGCAGAGTGAGTTTGAGGGAGTGGGAAATAGGTCCCAAGAAACTGACCTTCCCACTCGTCTTCTCCGAGGAGGTGGTTAAGTAACTGAAGTTACTTACATTGATTGATTACACTTTAAATTTACTGTTTCTCGAGGCTGGAGCACAGGACAGAGGGGAGGGCGTTTGGCTTGCATGTGGCTGACCCAAGTTTGATCTGCAGGACCCCATACGGTCCCCTGAGCACTGCTGGGTGTGACCCCAAAACAAAAAAAAACATTTGCTGTTTCTCTAAGGGATGCATCTAAGTTAGCTCTTCATGAAGTTGTCTTTAAATTTTCCATTTTTCACTCCAGTAATATTTGTGAATGATATCAGGGCTCTTTACGAAATAAGACCTCTGTATTCAGTTAACCTTTATATGTCAGGGGGGAAATTATCCAGTCACTTGTTTTTCATACCAACATCTGGAGCCCAACTAGAAATGTTCAGGGGGGGCGGAGCAGTAATACATCGGGTAGGGCTTTTGCCTTGCACACAGCGAACCCAGGTTCAATTTCTGGCATCCCATATGGTCCCCTAGCATCACCAGGGGTGATTCCTGAATGTAGAGCCAGAAGTAACCGCTGAGCATCGCCAAGTGTGCCCTTCAAGGACCCCCCCGCCCAAAAAAAAAGAAATGTTCAAAACATTACATACTTGATACAGTCTTTGGCATTTTCACCACTATCTATTAAATAATCAAGTGCTTCTTCCTGCTAAATTATAGTTGAGAAAATCATTGTCATTTAATAGGTTTAAATGACACCTGTGTTTCCTTTTATTCTTATATTATTAATCTACTCTATCTTACTGATACAATGATCAGTAATTGAGCTTAAACTTAAAGCAGGGAGAGAAAGTGCAGAGGTGAGGTACCTTGCTCATGGTTCCATCCCTGCCACTGCATGAGCACTGCTGGTAGTGACTTCTCCGAGCACAGACTCAGTCCCTGGGTACCCCAGGTGCAACCCCAAAACAGAACCAGAACCCCACAAACAAAAGCGGAGATATGACACTCCTAAATTTTCAGGCTTAAGCTTTGGTAAGACCTACCACGAAACCCCTCTAGATGAAGTAATATAAAAAATTATTTAAAAAAAAAAAACACAACTTCTGTTGGAGCCAGAGAGATAGTGGAGGGGCTTGGACACATGCCTTGTATGTAGCTGACTCTAGTTCACTCCCCAGCACCACATGGTCCCTTGAAGCATCACCAGGTGTATACCCCGGAAGTCCCCAAGCATCCCAAGGGGCCCCGCGTAATCCCTCACAGCAGCCCATTTGGCTGAGAATCGCCGGATTGGGTACCAGAGCCTCCTGAACTCTGTGTGGCCCCCACCCCAACCCCCACATCCCATTAAAAAATAAAAACGACCCTAAGTCAGCCAGGCCCCAGGTGCAGCTCTGTATGACCGTCTGCACTTCTCTCCCGCAGTTCACCTGGAGGGGTGCTGTGGAGGAAGGAGATTCGACTGCAGAGACGTGGTGTTCATCGTGGGCGAGGGCGAGGACCACGACATCCCCATCGGGATCGACAAAGCCCTGGAGAAGATGCAGCGGGAGGAGCAGTGTGTTCTGTACCTGGGACCACGGTGAGTGGCGCTCCAGTTCCGCTGGCTTTGGGCGTCGCTGCGGGGGCGGAGTGGGGGGATGCTTGCTATTCACGCCTTATTTCGGTGTTTTCCGTGATGATGTCAGTGCCAGCCGCAGGAACAATGAAAGCCGATGGGGGCTAGTCCCGGGGTGGGTGGATGGACGGGCGGTGTGTTCGGGGTGGGACTCACGGTACACTTGGGCTTGCTGTGCGTTTGGTTTTGCTGCTGCCGTGGCCAGGCGGTTCTCTTCCCCTCCCTCCCCTCTTCTCCAAACTCAGGAGGAGGCATGAACGTGCGTGACGGGGGGTGGGACCAGACGCAGCATCCAGATGATTTATTACCCGCTTGAATCTGTGCCATCTGTTCTTAATGCAAAGTCCCTGAAAAAGAGTGTTCTTCCTGGACCTACAGACAGCGGAGATGACTCACTTTTGCCTCAATTTTTCCCATCATAAGGATATCCATTAGCACTTCCAGGCTTAGAACTATCACACACTAACAGTCTCTCTGGTGAAAACATGTTTGCTATTATTTTTAGACCTCAAATTATACCACGGATCCAACCTTTCTATCTTGAGAAACGGACCCTTGAGAGAAACCCGGGTATTTGGATTCCGTGTGCATGAAAGCGCGTCTGCTAACGGCCTCCCGTTCTGGCTCCTCGGGAATTCGGGGTTTCTGCCGCCACGGTGCCCTGTGCTTGGCATCAGAGAGTGGTGTGCCTTTTCCACAACCACTGGCCTTTATGTAGCTGCGGGAGGGATCACGTGGCATTTTTACCTCTGCCCTCACACTCGAGCCATTAATCAGATTTCTCAAGCGGTGTCTTGGCCCTGTCTCTACCTACTTGAAAATCCTTCCAAAATGCCCTAACACCACCAGCTTGTTCCATCCTCCACTGAGGCACCTTTTAAAATCCTCCTTGTGTCTGTCACGGCCCTTTTCCACCACTGTGTTGCCACTTCAGCTTGTTTCTTTTTCTTTCTTTTTTTTTTTTCCATCTGTTTTGTATTTGTAACTCATCCTTAGGTGAACCAGTTTCTCTCTTTCTGTAAAGAACTTTTTTCTAAGCAAGTAGAACGTAGGAAACTCTATCTCTAATATAGCCAAGAAGACCTGGTTATTTTTTATTCTGCGTTTTAAAAATAGAGCAAGTCTAGTCATACAAAGAGGGACTGGAGCGATAGCACAGAGGGTAGGGCATTTGCCTTGCTCCGAGCACCGCCAGAATAATTCCTGAGTGCATGAGCCAGGAGTAACCCCTGTGACCCAAAAATAAAAATAAAATAAACTCATACGGCGGGTAGGGCGTTTGCCTTGCACACAGCCGACCTGGTCGGCCCAGGTTCGATTCCTCTGCCCCTCTAGGAGAGCCTGGCAAGCTACCAAGAGTATCTCGCCCTCACGGCAAGGCCTGGCAAGCGCCCTATGACGTATTCGATATGCCAAACACAGTAACAACAAGTCTCACAATGGAGACGTTACTGGGCCCGCTCGAGCAAATCGATGAACAATGGGAGGACAGTGCTACAGTGCGGTGCTACAATGAGAAAAGTATTAGGGCTGGAGCGGTGGTGCAGTGGTTAAGGCACTTACCTTACAAGGGCTGATTCCTCTTCTGTCCCTGACAACTCATGTGTTCCTCCACGTTCTGCCAAGACTGATCCCTGAGCACAGATCCACGAGTAAGCCCTGAGCAAAGCCAGGTATAGCTCCAAATCACACACCCGCCCACCCCCTGCCCAAGAAAGTGCAATGTTTAATTTCAAGGTACAGTTTCAGATTTCAGCTCTTTTAACCGTTCTGTATATATTATGAGCACATAACAGTATATTAATCAGTTTATTACTTTGTCACCTACCTAACAAGGCAGTCATGGGAACAGATGTCTCACATTTACTGGCAAAGAGAAACGGGAATTGCCCTCATGTTGATTCAGGCAAAGCTATGCCCACTCGGGCAGGTTACATAATTCTTCTACACCTCAGTTTCCCCTTTTGTAAAATGGAGATCACAAAGTTGTCAAACTCAATGAGATGATCCCTTTGAAAGACTTTGCCAAGTGCCAGGCACGTTTAAGCCATTAACATACGTTACTAATGCTAATATGCTCATCCTCTCTCTCTTCCATTTTCTTCCATTTTACCGCTCAGACCCCGAAGAAAGTGGAAATCCTATTTAAACGTGGTAGTATTTTCAGACTTTCCATACAAGTAGTCGGCAGGTCTTAATCAGGACCTCAGCATGAGGGTTTTTTGGGTTTTTGTTTTTGTTTTTGTTTTTCATGTAGCACTGTAGCACTGTCCTCCCATTGTTCATTGATTTGCTCGAGTAAGCCCAGTAACATCTCCATCACGAGACTTGTTGTTACTGTGTTTGGCATATCGAATACGTCACGGGTAGCTTGCCAGGCTTTGCCGTGCGGGTGAGATATTCTCTGTCCACTCTCCTTTTTTTTTTCATAAGTGTTAGAACAGATACTACACTTGATCTTAGCCAAAAGGCCGAGAAGCCTACTCGGATTGGAGTCGATTGGATTGGAGTCGAGCATCCTCCACCCAGATCCTCCAAATTCCAGTAGGCGGGGATCACACCCACCAACTGGCCCCCTGGCACCGTGTATCCCATCAGCGGCCAAGACTCAGAGACTATAAAAACCAGTTCCTGGAACTGCGCGGCCGCAAATGCGGCCGCGTGACATCTTATTATGACATCTCATTCCTACTTTGACAAACTGTCAGGCTACTGAATGTAGCCTGCCCACACGGCAGAGTCTGGCAAACTCCCCGTGGCGTACCCAATATGCCAAATACCAGTAACAATGATGGGTCTCATTCTCCTAAAGAGCCTTGAATATAATCTCAGGGCTAGGATGAAGGAGACGTTACTGGGGCCTGCTCGAGGCAATCGACAAATAACAGGATGATTTGTGATTTGTGATTGTGAAGTGCTAGAAATTGGCAGAGTGAAGAGGAACATGTGATTTTGTCGCATGTGACCAGTTCGCACTTGGAGGAGTCACGTGACATGTCCCCTCCCCTAGGGGACTCTCCACTCACTGGACACTTGACGTCAGCCGCACGGGCAAACTGTCCCATGTACTGAGAGTGCCCCCAGGGCTGTGACCACCTTACCCAGACCCCCTCTTAGCCTAGTACTCCACCCCTGAGCGTTGCCGCAATTACGGGGGCTGCTTTGTATCGCCACTGTCATTCACCAAAACGTTCCGAGAATGGACTTTTGCTATCATCTGACACTGTTTCAGAGAATATTTTCACGAGAAGAAATTCATCAGACACTTCCAGAGAACTCATTTTTCTCTCCTCATAACACAGTAATAACTTTTGTATAGCTCAAGTACCATGGTGAATCTTTTTCGTGTTAGGTATAGTATGGTGGCTTTAATTATTACTTTTCTTCTAAATTTTTGGTTTCTGGGCCACACCCCGTGGTCCTCAGGATTTACTCCTGGCCCTGTCTGCCTGGGAATCCTGGCAGGATTCTGGGCACTCTGGAGTGGCAGGGATCAACACCTGGCTAGGTCCTGCGCAAGACAGGCACCCAACCCTCTGTAACCTTCTCTCCAGCCCCACTTTTTTTCTTCTTTAATTTTCTAGTTTTCACTTTCATGTTTCTGTCCTGCACTAACCCCCTACCGACAAACCTAGAAAACCATAGTGTTTAATCCTGAGAAGACAGTGTGGGTCAAAAATAAATGATTTTCTGCGGGCTCACAGTGTCTGAGTGTATTTTAGTGAATCAGGACCATTTTTACTGAATGAAACTAGCTTAGAAAGACACGGGTTGAGGGGAGGAAAGAAAGACATGCTAAGGGAGACCAGACACTTGAAAAATTGAAAAAACTGGCTGGCAGAGAGAGAGAGAGGGAGAGAGAGAGAGAAGCAAGCGAGAGACCGAGAGATGCGTTGGAGAGGGAACACGGGCTTCAGGCGCCGCGGGGTCTGAGTGTAAATCCTGTCCCTACTCCTGCCTCTTTGTATGACTCTCAGAAAGCACTTTTCTCTGAGCCTCAGTTTCTTCATCTGTCAAAAGGGAGCAATGGGTAAGAGCTCTGAGAGCAAGTGCTCCAGGGGGGCTCTCGAGGGCGTCCTGTTGGATGACAGTCATTTCTTGTATCTCTACTCTCTCGGGGGAACTCTCGGTTGGAGAGCGTTCATCTGTCATTGCGGCGCAGCCGGTGTGGTTGGCGACTTTCAGTCCAGTGCGCTTGCGTGCCCCGGGCCCTCCCTTGCCCCCCAGGGTCTCTCACACATCAGGCAGCCTCCTGTCCCGTTTGGCAGGGGCCACTGCCTCCTGGGGTGATGCCCCGCCCCCTCATGTCTGACCGTCCAGGGTCTCTTTACTTTACACCCAAAGAGATGATGTGGTGGACGTGGTTTGCTCCCTTCATCTTTCTCGGCCCCACGGGTGACCGCGCAACACACTGGTGCCTTCTCCCCCACCCCCACCCCCATCCTGTACCCTCCCCCTCACCTCCCTCCCGTGCCGGGGCTCCCCCTGCACTGTCTCTCAGGCTGCCCCTCTCCACCTCAGTACTGGCGCCCCTGGGGCAAGAAGTGTCCTGTGCGCTGTGGAAGGTGTTCAGCCTCGTCCGCCCACTCGCTGGGAGTAGCCCAGAATATTCCCCTGGAGGGGAACCGGCCCACTGGTCAGCCCCTGCTCCAGGACAAGCCCCTGCCCGTCTGTTAGCAGCCCCTCCTCCGAGATTTGCGCCGTGGGCCGGCAGCTGCAGCCTGCTGTCCAGGGAACCTGCCTCCAGTTCGCAGCAGTGAAGGAATTTTCTTCACTGGTGGCAGATGGCAGACGTCAAATCGGAGACAAAAGGGCCAGAGTGATAGGATAGCGTGGACGGCGTTTGTTTGCCTTGCACGCAGGCCAGCCAGGCTCAGTCCCTCTCATCCCATGCGGTTCCCCTGAGCACCGCCAGGAGTGACCCCTGAGCATTGCAGGGTGTGCCTCCCCCACCAAAAAAAATTATTTTAAACGAGGAGATGTCCAAGAGCTCAAAGTAGAAAACTAGTCAGCCCTTCCTAAAACCGGCCACTGTAATTACCCACGACAGTTGGTGGTTTTGTCCTCCTTTATTTCTCTGCCCGAGAGACCCTTTGCCCTGCTATTAAAGCCGCCACACCCCATCCCTCCCCGCTCGCACGGTACCTCCAGGCCTGTCTGTGTCTTGTGCAACGGTGGAGGTGAGTGAGTAAGCACTTTCTTCTTCTTGGAAAATCCAGGCAAGGGGTAAAGAAAGTGACGCAAGCAGCAAGACAGCCCAGGAGGGATCAGCTGTGACCTGGCCTGGGGAGCAGAGAGTTTGGGTTCACCGAGGCTCCGGTCTCTCCCGCTCTCTTTCCTGTTTGCAGTCCCAGCTTGTGTGTTGAAGATGAGTTTGGCGTGAACCTGGTGGGAACAGAATAGAGAGATGCCCGGGAACCTGTGTTCACACACCGGGCCCTGGAAGTCGCTGTCCCAGGCACAGAACTCTGCCAGCCATCCGCCCGGCTGGGACAGGGGTGCCCTCTGGACTCTGTGTGTGTGTGTGTTTGTGTGTGTGCAGAATCGCAGAGGAGCCCCATGGGAAGAAGTGTGTCATTCTCCCGTGGTTCCGCCAGCCTCGTTTGTGCAGGGGGCGAGAACCTCGGTGCTCCAGCAGGATTCCCTGTGCCCGAGGGGGGGTTAGACAGTGCTAGGGTTCCTCTCTTCATGCTTTTCCGCACTTTCTAAAAATCCTGAAGCAGGGGCTGGAGCAATAGCACAGCGGGTAGGCCCTTTGCCTTGCACGCGGCCGACCCGGGTTCGATTCCCAGCATCCCGTATGGTTCCCCAAGCACTGCCAGGAGTAATTCCTGAGTGCAGAGCCAGGAGTAACCCCTGAGCATTGCCGGGTGTGACCCAAAAAGAAAAAAAAATCCTGGAGCAGTCCCCCTTGTGGTGGTCTCCTGCCCACTGTGCGAGCAACCCCCTTCCTTCTTTCCCTGACTGGAAGGACCGTGGGGGGCATAGTAGTACTTGCCAGCCCAGAGCTGCTGTCTAGTGACCCCCCGGGGCAGTGCTCTGCGTCCTCCTGCTGTGAATGCTCAGGGCAGGTGGGGGTGGGGGGCACAGTAACACCCACTTTATAAAAACAGCTAGACCGGAGTGTGATGTCCCCGCAAAGGCCGGGCCATTCCCCAGCACGTTAAGCAAGCTCTCCCCGGGGAGAGCCAGTGCCAGTGTCCACGCCACAGGTGACCGGGAGGGAGCGCTGCCAAGTCAGACCTGAAGTCTTTGCCCAGCCACCGGCCAGCCTGTCGCCTGGGACCTCTGACAGGTGCCGTTTGCCTGGGATAGCCCCTCACGCAGTGCGAGGCTTCCCACTGCTGCAGGAAGCGTCTGGAAATACACCGATTCTTTTAAAGTTTCATGTTTCACTCTCCATTTCAGATATGGTTTTGGAGAGGCAGGGAAGCCTAAATTTGGCATTGAACCTAATGCTGAGCTTATATATGAAGTTACACTTAAGAGCTTCGAAAAGGTGAGAAAAAAAAATACCACTTTCTCTGAAATCATGGGAGGCTCCTTCTCCGTCCACTTCTTCCACGCCGGTGCCCGGGTGGCCATCAGCGGGTCCCCCGTCGCGGCCCCCGCCCGTCCCTGACACTGCCCTGGGAAACGGGGCAGCTGACAAAGGCGCATCGCTGAGCTGTGGCTCCGTGTTCTTATTTTGTTCCTGTGCGTCAGCTTTTTTGCCTGGTTTCTTCTTATTTTTTTTTTAACTTTTTTTTTTTCCTTTTGGGTAGAATCCAAGACTTGTTCCCTTATTTGTTCTTAAACTTGTTCTTTTTGTACTTTTTTCCTGGGTTGAAGACAAAAAGGTTCACATTCTGCCAAGCAGCTCCTGGGGGCGGGGGGTGGGAGGGTGGGCGCGGAGGGAAGGAGGGGGCTTGGGGGGAGCTTCCCGCGCTGAACGGGTTGTACCTTCTCGGGGCCAGCGAGGGGAGGGCCTTTGCTGTGCCTCCAAGTCTTTCTCCCAGACCCAAGTTTTTGTAGGCCACCTGGCCCTGTGACAGGGCCCGGAACAGGCTGACCTTAGCCCTAGGCCTGCTCTTTTCATACCTGTCCAAGGAGGAGCGTTTGTCCGTTGCTCTGTGCTCCGGAAACAGCCAGCCTGCTTGGGCTTGCTGGCTTTGCGGCACCCATGCCCGGAGGCCCAGCTCTGTGGCCACTCACAGATCCTGGGCCCCTTGAGGGTCACAGAGCCCCTCCCCTCCCAAGCCCTGCTAGGCCTGTGCTTCTTGGGCCTTGCGTTTGCCTGCGGGGCTGTCCCGTGTCCCATGTCTTCCCCCCTGATTGAGGCCCTTTTGGCTCTCAGCTTGTTTTCCCTGTCAACCTGTACCTGCAGGGTAAGGAAATGAGAGAAAAACGCTTCAGGGATTACACACACACACACACACACACACACACACACACACACACACACACACACACCATGACCTGCCATCCTCGTCACACCCACTCTTTCATGTTGCCCCAGACACACATCTGCCCCCTGCTTGTCCTCAGGGTGGTCTGTGTGTCCCCAAGGCCCTTTTATTGCCAAGACAGGGAATGGGGGGAGAGGGGGTGGTCAGGGGGAAGCATCTTTAGCTTAGACCATTTTCATTTCTCATACAATGCCCCATGGACATCACTCAGGCCTCATGGGGCCTGGGTCTGCCATGGCTGTCCAGGGCTGCCCCGTGCACCCTGCTGGGATATCTGAGACCCCACTCAGGGAGGCGTGTGCTGGGGGACAGCAGGATGGCTCTCTCTGCCTCCTAATAGCAAGAATGCATTGACCCTCTCTGCAGACTGAACCCAGCCTGGAAAGCTCAAAGGGACTGTCCTCTGAATGTTGTTACTAGCAGAGCCGAGTGGTCAGGGCGTCTTAAAGACTCAAAACTCCCTGGGGCTAGAGTCATAGCATAGCGGATAGGGCATCTGCCTCACACGCGGCCGACCTGGGTTCAATCCCCAGCATCCCATATGGTCCCCCAAGCACCGCCAGGAGTAATTCCTGGGTGTAGAGTAGAGTAACCCCTGAGCATCGCTAGGTGTGACCCCCAAAAAAGAAAAAAAAATAGAAAAAGAAAAGCAAAAAAAAGACTAAAAACTCCCTCCTGACAGGCAGGGGGCGCTGTGGCACACGGTCCGTGGAGTGGAATCCCTTTCAGTTACCAAGGGCCATAGCTTGACCTGCTTGACCTCCTGAAAGGAGGTAGCCACTTAACGCGCAAGGACCAGGAGGTGCCCCTTTCCCTAAAGCATCTCGGGTGGTTCTGCCTCTTCAGGGCACTGCCCCAGGCCTGGGCCCAGCATCCTCCTTGGCATTCCCAAGTGGGCACCTGCAGGTTGCTAGAGGGGGCATCTGGACTGCCTGAGAGTGGGGAGACAATGACACAGTGACCTGAAATTCTAAAACGTGTGCGACTCGGTTACGGTCGCCTGGCCGTTTTATAGCCAGAAGACTGAGGCTTGAGAGAAAGCACTTGCTGAGACTTGGCCAGTGGTGTCAAGGAGCAGGGGGCCTGCGGGACGTGGGGGGGGGCACCCCTTCCCATGCTGTAGCCCATTTTTGTCCCCCCACTCCCTCTCGGGCAGCCTGGACCACTGGCAGCTTGATCAAGCTGGAGAGTGAGTTCTGGCCCCGGAGGGATCAGCAGGGCACACGCATCCCGGGCTGTGGCTTAGGGCAGCCATCCCAGCCAGGAGTCTGCGGGCCTTGGCAGTCCATGGTTGTGAAAAACGGATGCTTCGACGGATACTTCCCCCCTTCCTGGTCCTCTAACCATTGTCACGCATTTGCACGCAGGCCAAAGAATCCTGGGAGATGGATACCAAAGAAAAGTTGGAGCAGGCCGCCATTGTTAAAGAGAAGGGCACTGTGTACTTCAAGGTGTGTGAGTCTTTCCGTCCGCCCGGCTCAGAATTTACTCGCGTGTCAAGGAATTCTGCTGATATTCCCCGCGCTGAATTCTGTCGCCGCCCTTCTGGGTAAAAATAAGCCTGGTTTCCTACAAGTCTGCGTTTTTCAGCACAAGATGGGAGTGGGGGGAAAAATACCAGTATTGGACTGGAGTGATAGTACAGAGGGGCGGGCACTTGCCTTGCCCAGCACCAACCCGGGTTCAATCCCCGGGACCCTGCCACATTATGGCCCCCCCGAGCTCCACCAGGAGTGATTCCTGAGCACAGAGCCAGGAGTCAGCCCTGAGTATACTGCTGGGTGTGGTCCAGGGTTAAAAAGGATAAGACTTTACAGTGGATGGTCAGCCCTCCCGTAGGCAGACCCTGTCTGGCTCGCCCACTCCCCACTGTATAGCTCAGGGCCTCACGTCTCTTTCTTGGTCCTTTGTTGGCCCTCAACAAATACCTGTGAACCAAAACAAAACATGAATAGATCAATTGTTAGCAAGCAATAGAATTCCCTGGGTAGATTTCACAGGCACATAATAAGAGGAAAGAACATGCACTGATTTCAAAGGAAACTGACTGGAAACTGACTTACCAGTTTCTTCTGGTAAGCCCAGAGATAAGCTTTAGAAATTCCCAAATCACACCCCTCATGGCTCGCTTCTCAAAAATACTCTCCTGTGACCTCTGGGAATATTTTATTTGCTCACTCAGATTATAACTCCCCCCAGATATAAAGGTAAAGGTAAAGGCCCTCCCGTTGATCTTCGATTTGCTCGAGCAGGCCCAGTAACGTCTCCATTGGAGACTTTGTTGTTACTGTGTCTGGCATATCGAATACATCACGGGGAGCTTGCCAGGCTCTGCCGTGAGGGCGAGATACTCTCGGTAGCTTGCCGGGCTCTCCGAGAGGGGCGGAGGAATCGAACTCGGGTCGGCCATGTTGGCTGCTTGTAAGGCAAATGCCGTACCACTGTGCTATCGCTCCAGCCCTATATATATATAGTTATATATATAGTTATATGTCCTATATATTTATATGTGTATAATATATGTAGATATATCTAATACATATTTTTTAAGAAAAGAAAAAAGCAGCGTTTAGTTCAGCTCTAATCAGAGATTTCCACTAGTTGCTTCCTTCTCTCCATATGGCAGAAAAGGCTTAGAGGAAAACAGAAGGAGAAAATGGGGAGTTTTCTCCAGGTTCCCTTCATTTCTTCTTCTTTCCACTGTGACCCATGAACAAATAGGAGGTGATAGCAGGTTGTTCTCTTTTTTTTTTTTTTTTTGGCTTTTTGGGTCACACCCGGTGATGCCTACGGGTTACTCGGGGACCATATAGGACGCTGGGAATTGAACCCGGGTCAGCCGTGTGCAAGGCAAACGCCCTATCCGCTGTGCTATCACTCCAGCCTATTTCTGTTTTAGTTCATTCCCTTTTGGAGGGAAAGAGTACAGGCTCGTGAATCCAGAAGTGCTGAAGGCCCCAGGAGTGTTCAGGGGGCCTGTCAGGCTGCACCAGCAGAACCCGGAGGGCTCTGGAACTCTCAGTCAGGTCTCACCCTTACCTCTCCCCAGCTCCTGCACAATTGCATCCCGTGGCCAAAAGCAGTGAGGCTCTGGGGCCAGAGCCATGGAACAACAGGGGCGGTGCTTGCCTTGCACACGGCCGGCCCACATTCAATCCCAGATGTCCTAGGGTCCCCCAAGCACCAGGAGTGACCTCTGAATGCAGGGCCAGGAGCAACCCCTGAGCACCATGGGTATGGCCGCACAACAGAAATAGCTCTATAAATAAAGCAGCGAGGCCTGTAGAAACCCCAGGAAGAGTCTGTGGAACATCTGTTACAGGCAAGCTCCTGCATCAGCGATCAGTGGCCTTGCCTGGAGGGAGGAGGCATGAGAAGTCACGTGAAACAACCAGAGACTGATCCAGGGGGTCCCAGGCTGTCTAATCAGCACAGTGTTCACACAGCCAGATGACTTGTTGTATGATTATTGTATTTTTTTCTATATGCCTATGTGTGTACATATGTATGTGTGTGCATACACATACATACACAGACACAAACCACATGGTGCTCAAGAAGGTCTCTGATTTTTTTTTCTTTTTGGGTCACACCCAGCAATGCACCTGGGGTTACTCCTGGCTCTGCACTCAAGAATTACTCCTGGCAGTGCTCAGGGGATCATGTGGGATGCTGGGAATCGAACTCGGGTCAGCTATGTGCAAGGCAAAGGCCCTACGCGCTGTGCTATCGCTCCAGCCCCCTCTCTGATTAAGGGGGTTCAACTCAGGGCCTCTCTGCAGCTTGGATTACCTCCCCAGTTCCTGATCAGTATTTTTCAGGCTTTGAGAAGCAACCCAGTTATTGGGCTCATAAATCAATTTAGTGGAAGTATATATAGCATTTTATAGTAAAGGTTAATTTTATTTTATAAAACTTGTTCAGTGGCGTGAGTGGGAACTGGATGATAACTTTAAACTTTCTAACTGTGGTAAGTTATTAAACAAACTTGAAGTTCACTGGTATAGAAAATATGTCATTATATGTATATTTGTAATTATTATTTATTATTAAAATACTACATGAAAGGCACTGGGGTGTGTGGAATAAGCTGCAAACTGGGAATTGGGGAAAATAAACTTTCTGGCTCCCAGGAACTTAAGATCTTAAGAAGGTTTTGGGGGATTTTTTTGTTTGTTTTTAAGGTTTTGGGGTTTTTTGGTTGGCTAGTTTGGGGGTCACAACCAGTGATGGTCAGAGGTTACTCCTGGCTCTGCACTTGGGAATCTCTCCTGGCGTGGTGCTCAGGCAACCATATGGGATTTGAACCCAGGTCAGCCTCATGCAAGGCAAACACCCTCCCCACTGTAATATGGCTTTGGCTCCAGAAGCGTTTTGTTTTGTTTTGTTTATGTGAAACTTGTGAGAAATTTAGACTCGATGACCCCCTAGCTTCTTTCCAGCCCTAAAATTCTGTGAGTTTCTAAACTCTTTTCAAAGCAAGATTGGCTCTTTTCATTCTAATTGAGTATACTGGATACTTCTGAATTATTCGAGAAAGGTCGCAATGTCGCATGCCCAAGTACTCAATGCGCTGGAACATAAAGAAAAATTTCTGTGAAGTCGCTCAGTCCCATAGGTCAGGAACAGTGCTTCCTTTGTTCTTGGCGTCTAGAAAATGCTTTGTTTTCTTTTGTTTTGGTTTGTATTTCCCAAACCTTCTGAATAAAATACAAGTAGTCGGGGGGAAATTGAGGCTTTTGGCATTTGCCGGGAATTAGGCCCACTCAGGGAAGTAAACAGCTCAACTGCTCGAAAGCTGTGATTGGTTGCTGATGACTCAGGTATTTGGGGGCACGTAATTGGTGACAAAATAATGTTGCAAAGCCACTCATCTCATGGCTGGGTCTTGACTATCCATGTTCAGACCTGGAGGTGGTTGTCGAATTAGGGCGCAGTGGCTGAAAGCACCTCTGAAGTGTCCCTTGCCTTCACATAACCTCTGCCCAGTGCCATGCCGGCTGCACCAGGGATTCAGGGATATCCTCTGCGAACCTATTTTTAAAATTGTTTTTATTATAACACCGTGATTTACCAGGTTGTTCCTAAGACAGTTTTTTCAGACTCTGTGAACCCTTCAAAAGAAAAAAAATTTAACCAATCTTGGGCTAAAATCTGGATCAGCCGTCACACATATGGAACATATTATTTATAATATGCAATTTTATAGACAACATCTCTAAAAACATGAGTCCATTGAGGGAAAATTAATGAGAGATTCTGAACCACTGACCTAAGACTTCTTTCCCAGAATGTCTGAACGTTTTGTACTTAAAGACTTCCCTGGAGGCACCTTCGTAATTATAGGTAAAAGGGTCCCAGCAGCGAACCTCATTCCAGCTCCGAGCACTCAGAGTCCCCGTCCCGGAGTTTCCTGGTCTTACTTCCTTGTAGAATTTCAGGGCAGGTTTCGATCTGTTCTTCTGGCCTCCCAAGCGTCCTCTTTCCAGGGTATCTGCTTGGCACAGGGTCCACAAGCTGAGTGAGTGCAGAGACGGGTGAGGGAAGAAGGCATGTGCTCCTCTCGTCTCTGCACCGAAGCGTGTTTTCATTGACTTGTCAGCTTGGTTGACACGTAAGTGGGCAACTCTCCTTCATAAGGTTGAATCGTATTCAACTTTCAGGTGGGAATGACCATGATTCCCACTCACGTCTAGCTTCTCAAGTCGTCATTTCAGCCTCTGAACGCTAGGAATAAAGGGAGAGGAGACGTCATTCAACTTTGAAAATAATTGTTGGGCTGGAGCAATAGCACAACAGGTAGGGCTTTTGCCTTGCACTCGGCCAACCCGGGTTCGATTCCCAGCATCCCATATGGTCCCCCGAGCACTGCCAGGAGTAATTCCTGAGTGCAGAGCCAGGAGCGACTGCTGAGCATCACCGGGTGTGACCCAAAAAGCAAAAATAATAATTATTATTATTATTGTCAAACACATATAATACCAGGACGTTAGGGAGATATCCTGCAAGCCAGTCATACAGACCTGGACATTGTTTTTCTTGGGTTTTGGTTCACTCCTGATCGTGCCAGGGACCCAAGCCCAAACTCCAGCATGCAAAGCCTACACTCCAGCACCTTCAGCTCTCGCCTCGACCCCTGGACAGACCCGATTTTTACCCTCGGAACTGACAATATCCTGTAGGACCGAGAGCGAGCGTCAACATCTTAATTAACCTTTTAATGCTCTTGGTGTCACCTGGTTAGCAACTGGCAGCGTTTCTGAAAACGGCAGTGATGTGTGGGTGTGGCGCCCCTGTGTGGTCGTTGGGAGTAAAGCTTTTCTAAAACACGCTGGTTAAAGAAGCATCTTGAGGGCCAGAGCTTTGTGCTTTTGCCAGTTTGATACTCAGCACCCCGAGGTCTCTGAACACAGCCAGGAATAACCTCTGAAGTGGAAGTAACCCCTGTACC